GTCGCGAATCGGTTACGGGCAAAAGTAAGGAGATTTCGGAAAGAGTGGCACGCTCTCTCGTGCCTGGCGCCCAACTTAGTAATAAGAATTACAATTTTGACCGAAAAACCGCCTGGCTGTCGCAAAATTCAGCTACCGAGAGAGAGAAGACACTTTTGCGTACGAGGAGTACGAAGAACACGCGACGAAGTTGTGCCGTTGCTCGCGAGAACGGTTACAAAGTATAACGTCAGAAATGTTACATATTAACAGACAGGCTAATGGTTTAAATTTGAAAACGGATACTTTAGCCTTAAATGACGCTTACACAGAGATTCTCAATAAAGTTTGGATGTTTTGTTGTTCGACCGCTATACATTTGCGCATGTATCATATTGTATTGGAGCGTTTCACTGTGTGGTTGTGAGATTGATTTGCTGCTATGTCTATCGAGAAATTAAAATTCAAAGATAGCGATGTCTTTGCTGTTCACTATTTTGTTACATAAATTTCGGTTGTTTGCGAGTTGCTTGACTTCGTGAGGTGAATTAATAATTTCGATTGTTTTTTCTTTTTAATTCTCTTCACGGTTTAAAATTTTAGCCTGAGTTTTTATTGCCACTCAGCCAAGTAACTGTGCTGGACAACTTGCTCATGGCCTCACGAATGTTCTGGCAATCGCTCATTTTTGATAATGAGAATTTGAAGATACTGACTGCGATTTTTATTCTGTACTTATTAATGTTGAATTGCTGAAGATGACTCAAATAGGAGGCGAAACATACGATGTTTGACGAAGTTATATGATATTTTTAATGTAATAAATTCTCGAAATTTTAACAACTAAAGGTTGACTCCTATTGCCTTATTTACGAATTCTGTCTTATCCAGGGTTTGATCAAGTGGATCCAACCCAATAAAACTCACTAGGTTTTTTGGGTTGGACCCACCTGAAAAAATCCAGTGAAAAACTTTTTATTGGAAATAACAAAAATTAATTTTCGGAAAAAAGAAAGTGTACTGTAAGATCTATTCAAAATTATTAGAGGAAAGTCGCCGATACTGATGTAGGTCTCCTAAAGTGATACCCCCTTATTTCTCAGAAACTAACTATTGCATTTTATTAATACTAATAAAATCATGATACGTTTAGCTAATTAAAGAAGTATAAACTCATAATTCATATATTTGTGACTTATTTCAATACCAAATCAGCTAAAAACCAATTCTATGAATCCGAGAAGAAAATTCTTACGTTGTTCTTTTGCAAATTGCGTAATTAAAATAATAGTGACTGTATTATTGATAATATTATATCACTTTAAATGTTTATAGTTTCACAAATTAGTTTCCTTTACAAAATAGGATATATCTTTATTTATAGAATAGGAATGTTGGTATTATTGTTTACTATGTCAGTTTTGGAACCCATTTTGTCACACGCTCATTTTTGCATGACTTACGAAAAACTTAATTATTGCAAAATTGCAAACAGTATTACAAAAATTACTTATATTATCTGATAGAAGACACTTTTTACTTTGTATTTATGTTTTTGAAGTTGTAATTTTTACTTTTTGTGTTTAAGAAATATTGTCTAAAAACAAATGTCGGTATCGGTGACCTTCCTCTATATTTATATATTTTTATTTCACTTAAACTCCAAAGTTAAAATAACAACATTGTAATTTAAATTAAGTCCAATCGATAACTAGTGAATTGTCATCAATGGAACGCAAATAACGATAAACTTTAACAAGTTTTGTCGCTTTCTCGATTCCCAGCCAGTTTCGTAATTTACTCCACACGAGTCCGAATGTTGAAAAGAATCGCTCAATAGAAGCTGAAAAAGCAGGGACAGACAAAAGATTGGAAAAGAAATTGCAAAATCCTTCTGGAAGTTTTGTTGATTTTTCCAATTTTTTTCCATAATTTTCCACCATTTAGTGCCACTGATGCATGTTAAAACCGTTTTATACTGTTAATTCACCGCAACAATGTATGTTTTGTCAACCGAACCTCGTTACCGATCTATACTAGAGTTGATTAAAGTCTTGAAGAGTCTGAATTGTTCGCTTTGATTCAGTGTTAAATATTTTTGAAAAATGTGGCACGGACTTAACATGCCAGTGTACACTAGTGCATCCCAGCCGAAATCGCTATAAGATTCACTCTGTATCAAATGCTATCCTACAAATATTAATTGCAAAATCAATTTCTTTTTAAAATGTGACTTAGTTCTTACATTTAACTCTAAACAAAAGTGAAACTTGAAAAACCAAATAATCCGATAAAACCCAATAAAACCCGAAAAAATCCCTAAAAATCCGATAAAACCCGATAAAACCCGGCTGGGCTGGTTTTTAACAAAAGAAAACCCGGGTTTTTTCGAACCCTGGTCTTATCATTGAAATGAATTCCTAATTAAAACTGA